CCAGGACAGACAGACAGACAGACAGACAGACAGACAGACAGACAGACAGACAGACAGACAGACAGACAGACAGACAGACAGGACAGACAGACAACAGACAGACAGACAGCAGACAGACAGAACAGACAGACAGACCAGACGACACAGACAGACAGACCAGACAGACCAGACAGACAGACAGACAGACAGACAGACAGACAGACAGACAGACAGACAGACAGACAGACAGACAGAACAGAAACAGACAGACAGACAGACAGACAGACAGACAGACAGACAGACAGACAGACAGACAGACAGACAGACAGACAGACAGACAGACAGACAGACAGACAGACCAGACAGACAGACAGACAGACAGACAGACAGACAGACAGACAGACAGACAGACAGACCAGACAGACAGACAGACAGACAGACAGACAGACAGACAGACAGACAGACAGACAGACAGACAGACAGACAGACAGACAGACAGACAGACAGACAGACAGACCAGACAGACAGACAGACAGACAGACAGACAGACAGACAGACAGACAGACAGACAGACCAGACAGACAGACAGACAGACAGACAGACAGACAGACAGACAACAGACAGACAGACAGAAACAGACAGACAGACAGACAGAGACAGACAGACACAGACAGACAGACAGACAGACAGGACAGACAGACAGACAGACAGACAGACAGACAGACAGACAGACAGACAGACAGACAGACAGACAGACAGACAGACAGACAGACAGACAGACAGACAGACCAGACAGACAGACAGGACAGACAGACAGACAGACAGACAGACAGACAGACCAGACAGACAGACAGACAGACAGACAGACAGACAGACAGACAGACAGACAGACAGACAGACAGACAGACAGACAGACAGACAGACAGACAGACAGACAGACAGACAGACAGACAGACCAGACAGACAGACAGCAGACAGACAGACACATTGCTGAAAAACCAATGGTAGGGTGCACGTAACACCGCTGTAAATCTTTCTGTTTTCCCATTACTCTACGATTAACTATCGTAAGGCGAAACTTGTGTGCATAAACGATATTTTGTGAATCTTCGAACATTTTATCTTAACATTTTAACTTAACTTTTATCAATTCTCTCTCTGAAGGGCGAGACACTATACTATAGCGTTCTCTCTTGTTTTTTTATTCTCAAATTGAAATTGCGTTCATATGTTACCGCAAACATAAACATTTAAACAAATGTATTCACGGCTTTACCTTCCACCCTCCCTACATTATTAATTACATTAATAAAATTATTACCTAGCACCAATAGGAAAATCCAAAAGTATCGTTTATGGGAAATACTTAAAGAAATTGTAAAATTTTTAAATTAAAAGATATAGATAGTCTAATTTAATATTTGATTTGTGGGATAGGCCTCTCAGGGAAAACGGACCAAAACCTCTAACTCTATTGTGGTGTGGAAATGAGGAATTTTGTAAATTTAGTTTATCTAGCAAAGATAAAAAAAGCCAAAAGAATTGAATAATATAGCGATCTAGTACGAAATTTCCGCAGGAAAGTCTGCGTGCGACCTTGCAAGTTTATGCCTATATCCTTTTTCAATTCTTTCTATGGGAGCTAGTCTATCACGTTTTGAGTTTAAAACTTTGAGATTAGTTTGGGTTGGAAGATCTGGTGCTGATCATGAATATTTATGCTTTATATATGCTCGGAAATACCTTCTTCACTGCGAGGCAAGCTGATGACTCCAATTAGAGCACTTTCTACTGTGGGATAAACCTACAAGTGCTTACGTACCAAAAACCTTTTTTAACCTATAGTTCACTTGTAGCATGCACAGTACTATTTTATTTTATTTAAAGGCGGTGTTGTTAAAAAACAAGCGTTCTAAAGTTCATTTCGTTTTAAGAATTTTAGAACATTGTAATTTTTAAATGGTTTCTTAATTACACCCGGTACTTGTAGAGTAAAAGGGTAAAAGGAAGCGTTTCCGACCCCAAAAAGTATATATATTCTTGATTAGGATCACTAGCCGAGTCGATCTAGCTATGTTCGTCTGTCCGTAAACTATAAAAGTTGCAATACCGGGATTAGGCAAGCAGATTCTAGAGATTCCTGCGCAACGCAAGTTTTATTTTGCAGAGTGCCACGCCCACTCTAACGCCCACTACAGTTTAAATGGTAGAATGAAAATTTTGAATGAAATGTACTGCTCTTATCAATACCTATCGATTGACCCAAAAAAAGTTGGCCACGCTCACTTTAACGCCCACAAACAACCCACAAACTTCAAAAAATCGTAACGTATGAACGCGGCTTAAATCAGTCTGCCGCCCATATAACCATATGTTTAGATCGCGGATAGGTGGCGCATTACAATCTCGCTTTGCTGCTTGTATATCACCCTTTGGGCAATTTAGCTGAGTAACGGGAATCTGATAGTCGACGCAGTCGACTATAGCGTTTCTCCTTGTTTTTATGGAAAATGAGACATACCTGAGAATGAAATGATTGTGTTGACATCAACAGGATGCACAGGCTCACCATCGGTTGCTATAACCGTCATGCCGTGACCCTCAATCGTTACTTGTGCTGGACAGACTGAAGCAAATGCGTTTATCATTCGGAAGCGGTAACGACGGCCTGGTGTAATTGTAAATATTTCCAATGGTGTATTAGTCATAAAGCCAGTGTTTGGGTCACGAAACTGGCCCTTGCCGTTGATCAACATGGATTCTGGGTCCTGGCCTGTGTTAACTGCTAGACGTCCGGGATACCGCTCTGCAGCATCTTCATGCAACCAGTCACTGATAAGCATTATGTGGGTTGTTAAATCAAAGTCATATAAATGAGAGTTAGGGTCCCGTGAAGGTGGCTGTCGAACGACGACGCTACCATAAAGTCCATCTAGTTTCTGTAGACCAGTATGAGCATGCCAGAAGTGTGTTCCGGCGTTTCCTGTCCACTGATACCGAAAAGTATTACCCTGCTGAATAGGACACTGGGTGACGAATGGAACGCCATCGTAATACTGCGAACCTCGTTGCCATATCCCATGCCAATGAATAGTTACTTCCATTCCTTCCATGTGGTTCTCTACGTCTATAACAACTTTATCGTTTTCGCATACTTGAATGCTAGGCCCAGGAATCATACGATTTGCAGTCAGAATTCCGCGTTCAACTCCGTCAGCTAAGACACACTGGCAATGGCTCCAAACCGTGTTTGTGGCATTTGGAGTGCATACCTGGCAAGCACTATATATATATAGAAGTTAATACACAATATTTAAGTACAAAGAATGTTTCTAAAATATTAAAACTATGTCTTTCAGGTAATAATATATATTAGTTGAACAACTTTCAGGATGACCGTAGATGCAGCTGTTATAGGATCGAACATATTTTTGTGGAAAGGGTAATTAAAAATTGTAATGCCAAGGCTATTATCATTACTGTTTTGTGCCTTTTTAACAAGTGGCGGCACTAAACTTGTAAGGGCTTTATAAGTATGCAACAGCTAGAAAGAAGCGTTTCCGACCCCATAAAGTGTATATGTTCTTGATCAGGATCACTAGCCGAGTCGATCTAGCTATGTCTGTCTGCTCGTTTGCCCGTATGAATGCTGAGATATCCGAAACTGTAAAAGCTAGACGTTTGTTCCTAATTTAAGATCTAATGACGCGTAATAAACGATAAACGGTAAGGAATAAGATTAAAATATCACTCAAAAGTAGAATTCTCGCATGTACTTTTAACATTTTTTTCCGAATGCTTAGTGGAAAGTTTCGATGATGTTTTTTTGGAAGTTAAGAGATTAGCAACAGACGGTAAACGATTTCGTAAGGTTAAAACTCATCACTCAAACATGGCTTAATAATCAAAATTTAGCATAAAAAAAACAATGACCCGCAGTGTTTTTGAATTTTTTTCCAAGCATTGGTTTGCTTGGAATACTCAACAGCCGCACCTGCAAAAATGCGATGAAACGGGGGCTATTGAAACCTTGAACCATCTCAACTGCAATTGCCCGCCACTCTCACGAGCAAGAAGAAGATACCTCAGTGCCCCATTACTGGCATTCTTCTTGCCTTCACCAAAAACACCTCGATCCTTGTGGACTTAAAAACCTCTTAGCTCATCTCAAAGTTCATACAAATCAACCGGACAACTAAGGGCCATATTGGCCCATGCGTGGCCCCGTGAGGGCCGTCCGGGTTAACCTAACCTAACCTAATCTATTGGTTTGTTCACATTTTAGTAGGGAGCGATCAAATTTTTTATAGCGACGCAGAAGAATTTTTGTGGCATCGATCGTATAAAAAGATCTACGTCTCCAATAGATGGTTGGATATATTAGACAAGCAAAACCTTATTAACGAAAAAGTCCAAACATTCGTAGAATAAAAAAATTTCAAAGTGCATTTCACTTTTAAATGAGCTCCAACCGCCAATCACTGTGGGGGCAGTGCACGTAGTGACGAAGCGCACCAGGAGGGTGTGCGAAGACGACTACTATATATAAACGAAGAAACGAAAGTCTACTGTAATGGTCCGATTGTTTCTAGTGATACATCCATCAAAGGGTATTGCAAAAACTAAAAGGGTAACATACCAAGACTTAAAAAAAGCAAATATTTTGAGAGGAGTGGTGAACTACTAAAGCTACAGGCTTGTGCTTTATATCGTAAAAAGGAATTTCGAAATAATTTTGACGCCTTTGGAAACGACTTTTATTCCATCTCTGCGTAAACAAATTTTGACGAAATCTAAAATGCACTCTTTTCAATCATCACTGTGGACGGCAATTCACTTTGTGACGAAGCCCACTGCATCACTGCTGTGATGGTCCGATCATATATAGTGGTACAACAATCAAAAGATATTGCAAAACCTAAAAGGATTACATAAAAAGACTGTAACAATTTTAATTCGTTTGGGATCGGCGGAAGTAAAAATTAAGAAAATTGAAGCTGTATGAAGATTAATTATATAAATGATGTTTAAAAGAAAAACTTCTGATATCAAGCAAAACCACATCTTAACGAGGTAAAAATCAAGTGACGATCGCACCTAAAGCGAAGAAAAGTTCTGAAAACTTTCGTAATCAAATTATATTATACAATCTACTAAATAAAATTCATTTTTTTACATTCGTTACGTTCACCCGACTCGAATCTGTATGCGATCAGACTCGGATGCATGGATAAGAACTAACTATTGGATATACAAACCGTAAGTGGGAATCCACTAAATTTTGTAGACGACTTCAAATGACGAGCGGATTTGGATACCGACTTCGAAGAATCCCGCTGATTTCGGAACAAATATTGAAAGAACAAATAGGTAATCTTTCTGACTTAAAGGAGATTTCTTCAAGAGGGAGTTGGAATACAAATCCAGTCATAAACACATCTGCCAGCGAGGAAGTTTCATCCGACACCGTTAATGCTGAAGTTGAGAATTTTTTGGATAGGCTCTTCCTCCTCACTCACAAGATTGGTACGAATCGTTGTGGCTAGTTAGTTGGGCTGCGAGAAATTCAGTCTTGGGACAAGAGTTGGATGCAAAGAATTTCCTCAATCCACCCGTAGCTGAGTCCTTTTTTATTATGTAGGTATCGACTATATGGGACTATTCCTAATATGCTTGGATCTGCCTGACGGTTAGCGCTGCCCACCTAAAGATCGCTAAAGACCTGACTACTGACTAAGTTGACGCTGAACGAAAAGTGACAGGTGGGATACAAAAGCTCGACCATAGTAAGATCGCCGATGAGAAAATATTCAATGCCCACTAACCCCTTACGAATGGGGATGCTGTGAACGATTAGTAAGATGCGTTAAAGGAGCCATCGGATATGTACTGTGCATTAGGAATCTATGTGGATATATTATGCAGTCTAATGTCCAAGGCTGGAAACATAGTAAACGCTCGGCCGCTACCACATATTCTTCTAGATGACCCATCAGATAACCCCTAATCACTTTTTTTAGGTACTGCCAATTTTACCCAGAGGCCACCTTCGCAGGAGTTTCAGCCCACAAGGAACAACTGAGCAAGTGACTGAGCATAAATATATATACATTTCAGACTTCTGCCGGCGAACGCAATAGCATTCATTTATTATTCATTTAAGCGTATTTCAATTTCGTTTTTAAAAGCTATATAAATTTCTGAGTCGGAACTTCGTAGGGGCTGTCGTTTCATATTCCGTGTGGATTTCCAGAGGTTAAGGCCGTAAGGTTTGGTGGAGTCAGCATTCAGGAGCATCTTAAAGTATTTCCGTTTGGTTTCATAAAGAAGCTTTTTAAGAACATCCTCCGCTCGTCGATATGAGCTTTTGTCGACAGGATCTTGAGATCTCATAAATCTGCGACGTAGGGATGGTTTTAGCCTTACCAGGTCCATAATCTCAGGTTTTAAAGGAGCCTGAGGTGGACTGGAGGGGCTTGGGCTTGAGATTAAGGACTCGGCAGCGATATGGACAAATAGCTCGACGGCGTCGTTGATGGCGTCAGGAGAGCGTAAGAACATATTTAGGTTAGCAAGCCGGTTGACTGCTTCTTGAAAGAGTGGGAGGCTCGCATTCCGAGAAAGGATGCAAGACCTTCGGGAAGTTTTTTGCGCAGCGACTCTTAGTTTCACTATCAATGGGATGTGTTCAGAGCTTAGTTCAAGACTTTCTGAGGGAGAGACTCTCGGGCCGAATTCCTCTGTAGACAGCAAAGTCAATGGCTGTACGGATAGTGTGTAGGGCCTCCGGTTGTAAGGACCTGGACATTTGTTCTTTGTATAAAGTCTAGTAGTGCTCTTCCGCGGGTGCTTGAGTTACGGGATCCCCAGAGACGGTGGTGAGCATTTCAGTCTCCTGCAATTATGAAATTTGTTCCCAGGTCGTCGAAGAGTTTTTCGAAGTCGTCAGCAGAATAATGAAAGTTTGGTGGACAATAGATAGATGCAATAGCTGTTTCACCAAGGTCTGTTTTAACTTTGACGGGGACACATTGAAAATTTTGACTTTGTAGACTATAGAACTGGTAACATTGAAGGCAGGATTTTATTAAAATTGCAGAGCCACCGCGTTTCCGATCAATATTGTCATATGTCAATATTATTAAATTTTACAAAGAGCTCAAGCTCAAGGGCTTTGTTGGCAAGTCCGTCAGCGTTCCACGCACCAATGTTGAGGCCGATTTGACTCATGGTTGGGCAACATTGATTGGGAGAAACTCAGCGAGTGCTTGAGCAGTTCTAGGAGAATTTTGAGGCAAAAGTTTTGAGACAAGTCCCATCATAGACACCATCATTTGGAACAGCTTGTCCATCAGAGCGACGTGGACCGACAGATTTTGGTTAGATTGCATAAACATTTGCTCTTGACGCTGCCATTGCTGGTCGTTGATCAACTGTTGCGAGCTGCGTTCCAGTTGTTGGGGGGAAGACTGCTGGTGGTGACTTGGCTGTTGTTGCTGTTGTTGAGGATTTTCTTGTTGCTGTGATAACTGCTGCTGCTGCCGAGGTGGTGCTACTTGATGGTTTAGCTGACTTTGCTTTCTATTTTTGCTGCCCAGTGGAGGAAACTGTTGACTCTGTGGGAAAGTCATAGGAGCTTGTTAATGCTGGGGACGACTAACTTGACCACGGACGGCGCTTGCGTAGGAGTTCTGACCCACAAAGTTTGACCGAACATTCAAATTAGCTGACTGTTGGGAAACAGTGCTACGATGGGATGTGATACTTTTTCGTCGATATGCAACTTGCTGATAGACGACACAGCCTTTATAGCTTGCTGTATGGTTTCCGCCACAGTTTACGCACTTGAATGGGTGAACATCCTTTACGCAGGCCTCCAAAACGTGTTGTAGGCCACATCTGACGCAGTTGGATAGCTTTTGGCAATGATTTTTAGTGTGTCCAAATGCTTGACACCGGTGGCATTGGACGACATCATCCTTTTTATAGGGGAGTTCAACTTGAACCCGTTGCCGACAAAGTGCCTTAATTTAGTGAATTTCTTCGTTATTTGCCGCCGGTTCTAATTCTACAATGACTAGATTCACGAACTTGGTTTTGTCGAAGCGGCTTCTAGGTCTATTCACAAATCGAACCTTGTGGCCAGTCAAGGTAAGACTTTCCTTAATTTTTTCATCCGGGATGGAATGATGAACACCACGGATGAATACTCGATAGACTTAGAGACTTGGTTATCGCTCTGTATGCATCTGGATCTGCAGCCAGAATAGCAACAGAGTTGT